AAAATAAAATAGGCTATTTTAGCCACAAAAAACAAAACATCAAATCCAACCCATAATCATTACAACCCTCTCTCACCAAAAAAGTCAAAAAGTCAAAAAATCCTTCCCAAACCAGGCTAAAATAGCCAAAAAACTAAAAAGTCAAAAAGCCAACCCACTTCCCAAACGGAGGCTTAATAACATTAACATTTTATAACTGATAAATATGATAAAAAATATTGATGTTGGGTATGGTACAACAAAAAAGTTGCTGGTGCTTCAGTGCACCACGTCCACACCACTATTGAGTCAATTCCATACTTCTTTCTTACGCACGAATACTCGAATAACCTGTCCTAATAATATTAAAAGGTGATATTTTTAAAACAGAGGAAAATATAGTAATTTCAAAATCAAGTAATTTTATTATTATTTTTATCATTTTTAAAGTCGTAAGTAGCTTTCCACCCAAACTTTCCTCCGCGTTACACTCATTAAAAATTATAAAAATAAATATTTTCTTATTGGTCGATTCCAAGTTGTTGAATATTCAAAAAGGATTGCAGACCTAAGACAATTAAGTTGATTCTCCATTAATTACTTCCACAAGAAAAAAACTTATAGTTTAATCCAATATTATATAGTGATTAAGAAACCTATGTTACAATATAGGTGAGGTGTGTGTGCTTTGTCATTGTCTATCCCCAACTAACACCCTTGATTAATCAGAAAATTAAATATTAATTAATAAATTTATAAATAATAGTGACATTGCTTTGAGGGTGACCTCTCATTTATTGCTGTTCATTTGTTTGAAGAAAATAAAATAAGAATATAGTGAAGCTGTTTCCCTGTTAACCTTACACTAATCTATTTTTAAAATGATGTAATTTACAAAGGGTTGATGCGATCTAAGCAGCCATATTGCAATGAATTTGTGGTGGCCAATACTAAGTAAACTTTGTGCATAGAAGTGATATATATATATATATATATATATTGTTTTGTGTCATAAATAATATCGGTTATGCAACAAACCTAGTGTTATAGACGAGGGATAACTCATTGTCAAATCTCCATGTCCTACTGTGTCTTAATGTATTCAAACAGTACAATCACAAGAGAATTTCAAAATATGAAAATTTTGAGACGTGATTTTATACTGTTGAGAGTGTATTAAGACAGAGAAATAGAGAATCTTATATCGTGTCGTAAGAGTAATTATCTTATTTTTTTCGAAACACCACGTTCGCTGCTTGTCTGCCCAATAACAAGCGTTTATGTGCTTAGATGGTTCAAAAAATAATTTAAACATGTGATATTCTAAACCCATGTGATGATCTCTGGTGTCATAGTAAAGTGCACTAATATTACAAATCCAGAAATTTTACTTAGAAAATTACTCAAAAATATCAATACGTAATTTAGATTTAATCTGTATATAGATTTCACAAAATATATATATATATATATATATTCAATCTCCACCACGAGCATGGGGAGCATGCTAGCACAACACGCTATTGTGAGGGTCCATTGGGCCTTGTCCCAAGCATATGTCGTTGATCCAAACCTTTTATATTGTAAATTTCGTCAAACATATTATCCATAAAAAAAAAATCAAATTAATCAAACATGTGTAACTCCATGATCAAGGTCTAATTGTTTTAAAATATATTATCAAAATTATTCTAACCGTTTATTTTTTAAAAAACAAACGTGGTCTCATTTTGAAATTATAGATATTCAATTAATTTGATTTTTTATTTTATGAATGATCTATAAATGGTTTGGATTAACAAGAAGAACTCGAGACAAGACTCAATAGACTATCATAGTAACCATGATATGCCTTATAGGCACACCATGCTTCCCAATCCCCTCCACCACACACCTTAATTATTGACACAAATTGGAGATTATATTCTGAATTTCTTAATTTAATCTAGTGTGGTGCAATGATCGAATTTGAAATGGCCAATGTTAAAAACTAGTGCAAAGAGAACTCTCATAACAAATAAATAATAATAAAAAAAAATCACTTTCTAAGATGGGGATCAAGCCTAAGCTGGTCCAACAAGTGAGAATTTAGAAAATGTGGAAGAAAAATTATTCATCTTCTTCATTTCGTCTTTTCTAATTTCACCTATATTGATGTAAAATTAAAGGGTTAAAAGCCTGAAACCACTTTATATAAGTATTAACCACATAATTAAAAATAAAATTGAAAAGCTTCACAATTAGAGGATGTAGCAAGACTGAGACCTCGTTTGGCAAGCGATTTTTTTAGCCAAAAAGTTAAAAAGTCACTAAAAAAATTAAAAAGCTAACAACCTATACCAAAAAGTCAAAGATTCTATTTTCTCTCTATTTTTTTGTACATTTTTTCGTAAAAAGTTAAAAAATTATCCCAAACATATTAAATTTTTTTTATATTATATTTTAACCAAAAAATTAAAAAATTACTAAAAAAACTTATTCCCAAACCAGGCCTATGTAGAATTACAGTATATGGAAAATTTTGGAAGGAGCCTCTTTTGTTGAATGGTAATGAATTGGGTGTCAAGACTTGGAGTCAACTGATGAGACATAAAATACAAAACGTGGGGTAGAATTAGGAAACGGCTATTATGGTCTTGTTGGTGAAACTTTAAGTTGAAAATTTGGGGAGTATCTATTTATACACACCACTCTCTTTTTATACATATATTTTACACATAATTTTTTAACACGCTCTTTTATTAAATGTGTGGAAAGAGGAGATATGGTGTGTGTATATAGAAACTCCCGAAAATTTGATATACTAGCATCTCCAACGGTAATAGGCATTTTACCTATCTAAATATTACTATAAAGTAGATATTTTATTTTGCCTATCAACTATTTCATATTTCTATTCCAACCATGCTCTTTATTTTAGCTATTCATCTAAATACTATTAATTTTATAAAATGCCACATCAACAACAAAGATAGAGGGAAATGATCCTAATGATTAAATATATTTTGCCTAGTCTTGAAGGCTAGCTACATGTAGCTAGTGAATGTGAGTTGAGCTAAAATGCCTAATCATATACCTAGTGCATTGGAGTTGAAAAAAATAAGTTATACTAGGCATTTTGACTAACAAGCATGATATGCCTAGTGGGTTGGAGATGCTCTGAGATTAGAAGTTAGTTTTTTTTTTTAATAAAAATAAATAAATATCTAATTTTTTTAAATTTTAAAAATATTTTGACATCATAAGTTATAACTAAAAATTGTAATAAATACATTGTTATAAATTATTTACAAAAAAATTATAAATAGCTTCAATAATTTGTATCAAATAGGTCTTACATTTTTTTTAATTCTTTAATGATTCAACTATGGTTTTTATAGAGAGAGAAGTTTTGAGGCTTGTGAGGCTAAGGTTCCCAAATATTTATATAAAATTCTAAAATTTTCCACGGAATTAAGGAGAAAATATCTTGCTATATTTTAGTTTTTTCAAAAAAAAAATATATATATATATATATTGTAGTTGGACACACACACACACACACACACAAAAAAAAATGATACCAATTGTCCTAAGTTTTGAAAAAGAAAACCCAATTTAGGCAGCCATAGAAAATCCAAGGAGAAAATGCTAACCCATCCATCATCTTGGGAACTGCCATGGCCCAAGCCCAATTGTACTTTACTCAAGTTTGTTTAGCAATCAAACAACCCAATATGGGAAAATTAGCAGTAGATCCTATGGACCAAACTTGTTTTCTATTAAGTTTTAAGTTATTTTTAATTTTTAAATGCATTTGCTCTCGTTTTGATAAAAGAAATTTTTTTGAGATTTTTTAGACGCATATATTTTGTGTTTGTGGAATAATCATTTGGTTCTGGTAAGTGTACCGAGAAATTTATCAAACTGACAAATGATTGAGGCATTTTAACTTTTGCTTTTGAGTTTTGGTTTATTTTTAATTTATTGTGTTATTCTAGTAAAATATGATGTGGAAAAAGTAAATGATTAAATTATATTTTTAAAGATATTTTTATAGTGATAAATTTATCATTGAAAAATTAAACAGGAGTTGTTGATAGTCTCATTAAACATTGCTTAAGAAGATTCATTGTTGGATTCAGAAACTTTAGTACGAGCCCAAACTTTAACCCAGAATGATCCTCAATAGACAATAGAAAGGGAAAAACACTGCTCGTTTACTGATTGTTGAAAAAATTTATCATTAATCTGTAAATATTTTTTCAAATCTACATTGACATGCAAGTTCCCCCTAATATAAAAGCCAGGAAACCAAGTAGAAAGTGTTACCTATTAACAGGTTGACAAAAGAAAAATTATATATTAATGAATCTCTTACCAAATTTTTAATTATTAGAGACAAAGGTTATGGGAAGTTCTCAGTTCTTTTGTTGCACTATTATTGGTGTTTTGTTTATTTTCAGCTAAGTTTAGATGGCTTGAATTAAATTTAAAAAAAAAAAATATTATTACTAATAATAAGATTCTTATGTATTGATATTGTTATAAGGCGTCATATATTTACTTTACAGAGGTTGTGGTATATATTGTAATTGTTAGGTAAGGTTTTTAAGAGTGTTATAGAAGGGAGAATACATTTAGAGCCTAGTAGTTCTTGAATATAGTGGATTGTTCCCCCTCTGGTAGTAAGGGTATTGTAAAAATAACTGATGTATTATTATTGATTGTATTGATGTTGTTGTTTACAAATGTTGAGGTGCTGTTTATATAGGAGATGTTGAGTGTGGTAGTGGAGTGTAGTAGGTGAAGTGGAGGTGGTAGTGGAGTGTAGTAGGTGAAGTGGAGGTGGTAGTGGAGTGTAGTAGGTAAGGTAAATTCTAACAGGTATCCTACGAACCATGTATATCTTTTGTTCTTGTTCTGTGCGTGCTTATTCTATTTTTTACTGCTTTATTTACAAGGGTGATTGATAAACCATTGACTATATAACAAGAAAGAAAATGATACAAGTTAGGAATTAAAGAAAGAAGAGAGTCAAATTGTCGAAACATGAGCTTCCTTTGGATTTATAAATCTTGACTTTGAACAATTGCCAATATGAAGAAGAATAATGATAAATTTGTTACAGTTCTTCTGTTTATTTGCAGCTTAATTGATTTCAATCTTGACTTGCCTTCCTTTTTTCTTTCTTTGAAGAATCAAGAAAGGCTAAATTCAAATCCTCAAATTCAAGTTGTGTTTCAAGCTACCCACATGGAGTACATGTAGTCCCATGGCAACTTTTCGGCTTCCAACCTCATCAACCAAACTCAAATCCTTGCAAACATCAATCCTAAACCGAACCAATCCTTCTGATTGTGGTGTCAAGAAGACCTTCTCAAATCCCAACAAGTGCTTCTGAGGAGAATTATGTACAGAAGGGGGGCTAGAAAACAAGAACACTGTTTCGCTTCCACTTGTTTTCCCTGCATTTTTAACCCTCAAGTGGATGTCGAAAGCTAGGTTTTGACAACTCTGCTCAACAGCATCGATGGACTTGCAACTTGATGATCGACAAACGTGAGTCTCTTGTAAGGGGATTGAGACTTGGGTAGGGGCTTGAACTAGGTGATGATTGAACGCGGTGTAGCTTAGTCCATCCCCAAATGTATAGACAGTTGGACCGGTGTAAAACCGATAGGTTCTGCCAGGGTAGCCAGTGGCAGGGTCCGGTCTCATCTTCATGTTGTTCATTGGGACTTTGGCTGCATAGGACTGTGGATACCATGACAAGGGTAGTCTTCCACCTGTAATATAAAAAAGACAAGCATGAGTTTAATTTCCAAGCATTCATAACCACTATATGGTAATTAGTTTTTTTAATTTTAAAAATAAAATAAAAAAAAATCAGTAAGAGGGCAATAAGGGAATAGTGCAATGATAAGACATAAACTACAATTTATTGGGGTAGGGAGGGGCAACGTGACAAGGGGTTAGGGGTTGAAAATGAGGGTATTATGAAAAATAAGTGGCATGAATTGAGAAAGAAAAACAATATCAAATTGTGTCAAGACTCAAACTCATGCATCATGCTTGTTAAGTAGTTGAAAGAACTTGGAAACTCACTTGGATTGAAATACCCAAAAATAATATCTGCCATGGCGGCACCACCAGCTTCGCCAGGGTAACCGACCCACATGATGCTCGTTATTTTAGGATCATCTTTTGCAAATTGTATGTCAAAGCCCCCTCCCGACATTATGACAAGAATTACTGGTCCCTTAGACACCTTTGCGACTTCTGTTATTAGCAGTTGCTGCTGTCCTGGAAGAGTGAGATCGATCCTATCGTGGCCCTCTGCTTCGATAGATTGATCAGCGCCCATTACTAGCACAACAGCATCTGCCGAGGCTGCTAGTTTCTTAGCATCATCTACTTGGGCAGTGCCACATCCCACATTGGCACAGCCAGGGAGATAGGTGGTTGCAACTGATGCTGTGAGGCCTTGCAGTGGAGTTGTGTACTTGCAGGGTGTGCCTGCAGCATTACCCAAATTGATTAGGAAGTAGTGCTTTTGTTGTTTCTAAAAATTAAAAATAAATTCAAATTTTGTTTTAAAACTGAGTCATTGAGAATTGGGCTGTAAACTGATCGGATTTAATTCAAATTTGATCTGAAAATTTTGAATCCGTTAACGAATACACAATCTGATAATTCAAATTATTGTCGATCCGATCTGATCCCATAATCAATCTACTCTTATCTCATGCTTCAATTTTTATCTGTATATATAGGGTTATTACACTTCAAAAATAATGAAAACTACCAAAAAATTGAGAAAGTGAAATTCAAATTAAAAAAAAAGTATTATAATAAAGATTTTGAGAACACAGCTTAAAAAAATGTACCTTTTGCATAAAAGTGAGTGACTTAAAAAATGTACCCGTTAACAAGATCCTTATGATAAATAGGGACGGGCTAATTTGACCCAGATTTCATATTATTTTGTAAGCAGATTGAATAGGCATTATGAATTCAATCTAAATCCATTCGTATTAAAGTTTTTATAAGCAGATTAGGTTCAGATTATGTCAAATCCAACCCAAATCCAATAAGTTGACAGGCCTACATCGAATGATTTAGTTAGTTTTTTTTGTCATGTTAAAATACCTTCATAGTTGCCAATCATGGTTTTTGTTACATTGCCATTGGGTCCAATAACCGCCAACGACTTGATGGCAGTGGGGGATAGGGGAAGTGATCCGGCAGTGTTCTTAAGCAGCACGATACCCTGCCTCGCTGCCTCGCGGGCCATCTCCTGGTTCTCCGGCGTGCACACGTCTTTTGGGCCAAGCTGCCCATAGAGTTGCTTGCTTGGATCACCATCAAAGAAGCCAAGTCTCATTAGTGTTGCAAAATTGTTTGAGACAGCATTGTCAACGGCAGACTCATTCACTAGCCCTGCTTTCACTGCAGCTTCAGTGTGTTTGGCCATGAAAGATCCACAATTGAGGTCCAGCCCTGTTGAATCAAGTTACTCATTAAATGACCATTTTGCCCTGGCTTAGCCTTGTTTGTTTTCCAAAAAAATAAAAAATAAAAAGCCTCATCTACCATAACAAAAATAAATGAATGAACTATTAAAAAGTGTGAATTCACATTTCTTTAGATCAAAAGTTAACAAATTTGGATTGAAGTCTTGTGTGAATTATTTGTTCAACATCGACATCAACGATTTAGTAAGGTTTATATTTACAAAAGTTATATATGTTTACAAAAAATTTAAAAAATATAAATAAAAAAACTCGTTTGGTGTCCACTTTTGTTTCTTAAAAATTTTAAAGAACTTATAAATTGACTAAATTATTTCAACCAAAAAAATGTTATTTTCATTTGTTTTAATTAAAAACAAATTTTCATTCCTTCCTATCTCTCTCACCCTCGCCCACCACACACTGCCCATCACCACTTTTGGCTACCACTCATTGCCTATCACTACCATCAGCCACACCCTACCTTTGGCCTTTGAAAGACTTCCCCCAACCACCTCCACTAGTAACTTCCGCCAGACATCACCTCCAACCGACATCAACTACCTTCAACCACCACCTTCCTCGACAACCACCCCTTCTCACTCATCTTCAAATTTTAGTTTTTATTTTACTTTAAAGACAAATCTATGTGCCAATCATGCTTTTTTATTTTGTTTATACTAAAAATAAACACAAATATGTTTAATATTTTTTATAAATAAAACCAGTAAATTGTTACCAAATGGCGTGCTGGATGGGTAAAAAAGGCACATTATCCCTATCGTTAACTAACCTAATTAATCCAATCTAATCAAAATAAAATTATGTATCTGATTGCCCAAATCAAGGTTGAAGATCTAGTCACCTGCCAATAAAGCCTTGGCTGCGGCCTCCTCAGGTGTCTTGGTGTAATGTTGTGAATTATAAAACGTATCAACAGAATCACAATCCGAAACAATGTATCTGCAGCATCCAAAATCGATTCACGAAAACACAAAACCGGTGAATTTCACAATTCGAATGATGATCAATGTTTAGTAAAAATCATGAAGATTATGTGAAAAATACCCATTTAGTTTCCATTGGCCGCGAACCACCCCTTTGAGGAGGTCTGGATCGGCACAAGTTGGCTTGCCATTGACTTGGTTGTAGGAACACATGACACTTGCAACATTCCCATCAAGAACACAGCTCTTGAATGGGGGCTGAAATGTGTCATCCATATCTTGCTGTGTCACCTAACTCACCACAACACAAACAGTGAAATTTCCCAAAATCAAACAAAAAATAAAAAAATAAAAAGATTGAAGAATTTGACATAGGGAATTAAATTTTCCTCAACTTACAATCGCGTTGAAATGTAAGCGATCAAAGTTTTTCCAATTATCGAGATCGTATGCTGTGTAGTGTTTGCAGCAGGCAGCGACCTTGAGGCGGTCTTTATCGCCATCATCCCTTTGTTGTAAACCTCTGACATATGCCGACCCATATTTGCTAGTCAGAAGAGGGTCTTCTCCCGGAGTTTCTTGCGCTCGTCCCCATCTAGGGTCCCGGACTATGTTGATATTAGGTGACCAAAATGTCAACCCTGCTAAACCCACATTGTACATTGCTCTGGCTTCTGTTGAGACGGCCTACATACATAAACGTTAATCTTTTTAAGGTCTTAGAAGCGAAAAAATCGATCATTCTTAGCCTAGTACATTTAATTCACTTCCATTTGGGGGACATTCGATGAAATTGAATACACTTAACATATGTTCAACGTTTTGATTTTTGTTAGGGTTTTGCTAACGATGCTACTGACTGATCACAACCCTTAATCCTACAGCTATGGGGTCTTCACATTGTCAGACTTTTTGCGTCCATATGCCATTGGAAGTCTAGTGTTCACATTTTATTGCATAAATTAACACTAAAGTTTCTGAGCAACCAAACAAGCACCCCACAAGTTCTCTCTCTCTCTCCAATTTGAAAGCTGGAATCATCTTTAAGTACCAATACAGCCCATCATATACACCAACTTTAGTTCACCAGTCATAATCAGATATCCACAAGATGTCAAAAGCGAAAGGAAACTGCATGGAAAATAGAAGGCCAGAGTAACTATGGCTCCACCTACTTTTTAAATAAACCAACCATACAATTTCCATATCTCATAAACATTTATCTCAAACCTTAAATGTAAAAGTATTTTACAGACACTTCTTATGTACCCACCATCATCATTGTAGCGTTTTCAAGACGACAAGCTCAAATTCATCAAAATTAATTTTTTTTTTTTTAAAAAAAGAATGTAACACAGCTTGCAAAACCAATGATTATGAAAAAGAAAGGTTAAGAGAAAAAAATATATAGTCGATGGCGACTTACGTGTAGATTATAATTAGCTTAATTGCGTTGTTGTCACGGAACCATTTATGAAGAGAACGCCACTGATTTTTAACACATTCGACAAAATCTCAATGTTCATGTAGGAATATCCAAGAAATTATTTTTATCAAAAATTGTAAAAATGTTTTAACAAAACAATTTACTACAAAATTGGTAGTTGTTGAATCTTGGTCAGATAATCTAATTTGAACCCTTAAAACTTGGAACAGAACAACAAACTAATATACTCCAAATCCAACTGAAAATATGATTTGGAATTTGAAAGGGAAAGGGAAAAAGTAAATGTCAATAAAATATACTTATATTTCACTTAATTTCACACACATTTTCCCTTTCTATTTTCAAATCCCTTCTCAAATTTCCCAACCAAACCCAGCGTAATTAAAAAATTAAGAAAAGAAAAACAGATTTTTATCCTATTCCAATCACATCTATTTGTGACATATTATTGGGGTGAATAATATCCAAAATTAATTACGAAATTGAAATGGTGAATCTAATCCAATATTGAATTCAAATCCAGATACTCAGACGGAGAGAGACAGACAGACAGAAAGAAAGAGACGTTGCTCTTTCAACCAATCCAAAATTGTTGCATGAAATGAGATACCCTTTTCCAGAAGCAACTCTTAAAATGACAAAACACAAAAAATCACAAAATGAAAGAGAGAGAGAAGAGATGTTGATATTCAACCCAATCCAAAATTGTTACATGAAATGCGAAACCCATTTCCAGAAGAAAAAAAAAATTTAAATGGAAATAAATCCCAAATCAATCACAAAATGAAAATGTGAATCAAACCCAACAATAAACTCAAATCCACATACTCAAAAATGTGTGTGTGTGGGAGAGAGAGAAGGCTGTAGATCTCTCAACCCAATCCAAAATTGATACATGAAATGAGATACCCATTTCCAGAACAACTCTTCAAATGAAAAAACAAAAAACCAATCAATCACAAAATGAAAAATGTGAATCAAACCCAACAATCAATTAAAATCTACATACCAAATGTGTAATCAATCCAAAATCATTGCTTAAAATGAAATATCATTAATGTTCAAGAACAAAATAAAATACAGATTAATCATATACATATATACCTTTCCAATGGCTTGAAACAGAGTGACATTGAAAGAAGCCGCAGTGAGGATAACCTGAGGGAAGCTGGTAGCACCAGGGACTAAACTAGAAAAATGAGTCCCCGGACCGACATACGAGACTCCATGCAAAGCCTCAGACCACCACTCATACTTTGGTATTCCTAGCCTACTCACACTCGCAGCACCACTAATCAAGAACCCAATTTTCTCTTGCAATGTCAGCCTCTTCACCAGGTCATCCACCCTCGCTGCCACAGCCACCGTTGGATCGCAGAAAGTCAGGTTAGCCAACGATGGGTTTTTCGACACGTCGCAGGCGAAAACAGCCTGTGTTTGGGCTAAAACATGGGTTGAGCTGAAACAGAGGAGGAGGAGGAAGAAGAAGAAGAAGAGAATGAAAACAGAGTGGTTTGGTTGTTTTGCTCTGTTTTGAGCAGAGGTAGAGGCCATATTGGCTTTTGGAGAAGATGGTGGGTAGTGAGGGAATGCGCGTTATCATGAAAGATTGTTTTGTTTTATAGTAGATGCATAGAGGAATAATTCGACATAATGGGTGCGAACTCACAAAATGTTGAGATCCAATGAGAGGGGTTGTGTGATTTTGTTATGATTTGTAATTACAAAAATGCTAGAGGTCTCAAAAATTCTACTAAAAATTTTACCAAATATTTCACATGGGTGTGGGACCCACATGGGACGCACATTGTGTGGGTCCCACACTCATGTGAGACATTTGGTAAAATTTTTGGTAGAATATTTGGGGTCTCTAACATTACTCTTGTAATTATTCTATAAATTATAATTTTTAAAAGAAAAGTATGTTTAATTATTTTAAAATTTAAATTTATGTGTCATTATATATGAAAGTAATTCACTAAAATTTAATTATTTTTTATTTTTTAAAAAAAGTCTATTTTTGGTTAACTCCAATTTAACCACACTAATTAAACTCTAATTATCACATAAATTATGACTTCTAAAAGGAAAAGTATGTTTAATTATTTCAAAATTTAAATTTGTATGCTATTAATATGGAAGTAATTCACTAAAATCTAATTATAATCATAAAAAAAAACTCTAATTCCATAATTTATGATTTTTAAATATATATATATATATATTTCATTTTAAGATTTAAAATTATGTGTCATTAAATATGACAAACCATTCAATAGAATCTAAATTTTATAGAAACCTTTCAAATGGTCAAGTTATCTATACAATAACTAATATACAAACATTTTTTAAAATTTATAATGATACTCCTTTCAAAATTTAATATGATAAACTTTCAAAATTACATTTTAAAAAAATCAAAATTATTTTTATTTTTATTTATTTCCAAACCCACTTATTAAATTTCTTGATTAATTTTTATTTATTTCTAATTTTTTTTAAAAAAAAAAAATCTATTCAATAACACTTTTTCAACAATAAAAATATAATTATCTAATGATTTGTGAAATTTAAATGGAAAATATACTAACCAATTTTAAAATTCAAAAGTGTGTCATCTAAGTATTAAAAAACAAATCTAATTTTCTCATAATTTATGATTTTTAAAAAGAAGGAATACTAAATCAATTTTAAAAATTTAAAATTGCGTATCACAAATTATGGGAAATAATTACATCTCTCATACATTTTCTCTCTTGCACTCATTGGATTCAAGTCAAATTAGAGTCGTTATTTATCAAGTGTTGTAACTATTTGTAATGGAAGCAATTGTGAAGAATTCAATTGATAATTTTTTGCCCTATAAATTTAAGTTTTTTTATAAAGATCAATTCTAATCTTTAGTCTCTCACATCCTTATTTCTATTATGTATCTAACAATTATGTTAATTTTTAAAAATTTATTGCATGCTTATTTAATCTAAGTGTATTTTTATAAAATGAATCTCCAATCTCTTTGGCCGCGGTTCAATGATTTAAAATTTATATTTATCAAGGGGTTGTTGAGAAGATATGGATATTTATTTGCAACATGGCCAGTAACAAATTTTCAATGTAATTTTTTTTTTTCTCCTAGAGGATACATGTAGTTATAATATTACTTTTGCATTTAGGTTTTGTAATTTCCATAATTTCATATTTCAAAATTTCTATATGGTTTCTTTCTTTCTTTTTGTGTTGTTTTTTTTTTTTTTGGTACATCCAAAATAATATAAGGTTTACTTTATGTTACATAAACTTAATAATCACTGTGAAGATGGTGCACTAACATGTGGATAGTTTTCTTAAATAAATATTTGTCAAAATTTTAAATAAGAAAATTCTACTTAAAAAATAGGTTGATGATTAACGTAAATATAATTATTACATGGGAACTAATTAATGCTCTTTTTTAGATTTGAATTAATATTAAATTAATTTTTTTTATATTATAAACAAAGTTGTTTTATAATTTAATTTAAAAATTAATTTGTAATTATTTATTTTAACCCATGCATAACACGGGTATTATACTTTTAAAATTGGGACTCGAAAAATATTTTTGTACTCCAGTTTTTGTGTTTGAGCTTTTTTTAATTAAAAAATGGAGAAAATATTTTATCTAACAAGTTTCCCACATGACCAAGATTTGCTTATTGATTGTCGTGGGATAAAAATTGAGAACTCAAGAAGTGTTTTTGCGCTCCATCTTTAAAGATTAAAGCCTCGTTGGCAACATAATTTTTTAGTTTAAAAATCAAAAAATTATTAAAAAATTAAAAAAGAAAACAACTTATTAAAAAGTTAAAAATTCTTTTTTTTTTTCTATTTTTTACATATCTTTTTATAAAAAATCAAAAAATCATCCTAAACATATGAATTTTTTTATCTCATATTTTAATTAAAAAATTAAAAAATTATTAAAATAGTATGTTTCTAAACGAAGCCTAAGTATTAGGTCACATCAAACTCCGATATTATTTTTTAACACAGTTCAATCAAGAGTAATTCTCGTCAATTTTATTACATGACATATTAAAAAAACACATAAAAATATATTATGTGATCAAAATTTATTTTAAATATTATGCTATGGAGGCTACACTTGAAAATAGTAAATTTCAACCATTCAACACCTTGTATTTTGTTTGGTACAATCAGCATTATTGTATTGAACATAGAATATTTTCTCGAAGGAGAGGAGAGAGAGAGGTAGTGGGAGTGGGAGGAGAGTTTGAAAAACATGTGTTGTTTTATAGCAACCCGTGATGAATTAATCTAATGATAGACTGGGTAGCCATGAATTGTATTTTGTTTATATTAAAAGAATTTGGAGGAGAGATTATACACGGAGTCCGTGAAAGATTTTCTATTTCATTGGCTGTAAGACAGAGTTCTGAATTAAGTTTTTTGTTTTTTTGGTTTGGAGGTATGTTTCCTGTACTGGCCCTACTCACTGGAAGTACTATCACAAGCAGGTCAGAAGTCCACTTGACTCTGTCATTTTTTAGTATTCTTTTAGGGTTTAGCTTATTTCAAGTTGAGATCAAAATTAGACTCGTTTAGTTTAGTTTATGGAGTTTATTTTTTGGATTCGTTTTGATAATTCGAACCGTCAATGTGTAGAAATTCTCGAGTACTATATGCCTGCAAAAAATCACGTTCATCACATATCAATAGCTATGTAATCAAATCAGTTTTGTATAAAAAAAATAGACGGTGAAAAAATTAACGATTGATAAAAAACTGTTTTACTCACATAGCTATCGATATCCGATCAACGTGATTTTTTACAGGCATATAGTACTCAACGAGTTCTACATATTGAACGGTTCGAATTATCAAAACGAGACCCGTGGTGGGCCCCCACGGACCCAACAGCACGATCCAGTCCGATCTTAGACTGGACCAAAGCCACTACCTTTTACTATATATGATAGGGATAATGTGATATAAAATTCTATATAAAATGAGATGGTATTTTATAGTTCTCTTATTTTTAATCAAAATATTTATTATTATGCCTGTACGGGGAGCAAATATTTCGCAGAGCCCGTACTCCTTTCTACCAAGCTCCTTGTCCGTCCGATCGACCTACGAACACAACAGCGGTGAGCTACCCGGCGGTGTGTGACCGGAAAATCCCTCTGACGGTCAAGTTAGCACACATTTAGAGATAGAGAGAGAGAGGAGAGACTTGAATGTATAGATTTATCTCACCAAATTATGTTCCATCCCCAGCATGGGGGGCGCAGACACGCTTACATACTTTTTGCGCCCAAATTTGCTCCCATTAATCTCTGGACACGTAGTGCTGCTCTCCCATCTGTCAGCACAAATCCTGCAATTACCACCTAACCAAACCGTTAGGCTATATTGGCGGAGCCCGGCAGATCGGCGGAACCACCTCGGCCTTTCACGACCGCGCGGCGCAGCGTACCCGAGTGCTCCACTTGCCGAGCTCCAGAATGACCGAGCTCGGTTGCATTCTGGCAAAGTCGAGTTTAAGATAGGTCGAGCCAGCAAACCGAAGGCCTTCCTGCCGTGCTAAACGCGTGAACCGTGGAATCTAGACTGGTAAGCAATCATCTCAGCCGAGCAACTCAAGTAGCTCGGTTTTCTACATAGACAAGCCCAAGTAGCTCGGTCCCAATATGGTCCTGGGCCTCAACCAAGCAAAACCTTATCTGGACGAGCCCAAGCTATCACGGCCCAGACATGTTCCGTCCCTCATTTTGCCCGGCCTTTACCATGGCCCATTCCAACTTATAAATCTCCCTCTCAATTGCCTCTTAATTCCGTCCGCGCTAGCGTGACCAATAAATGCACGACGCATGTTCATAATGGCGGCAGCGTCAGTTCTGAAGAGACAATATGGCAGGTTGAAGTGATGACCGAGCAAGCCCAGAAGCCGGGTATGGAGATTAGCATGGTTAACATCTTGCAAACTAGGGACCGATGGAGAGTCTACCCCGGACGTGCCATGTAATCCCAGTCACGTTTGCACGGACGGAATTAAGGGGCAATTGAGAGGGAGATTTATGAGCTGAAATAGGCCATGGTAAGGGCCGGGCAAAATGAGGGGCCGAACATGTTTGGGTCGTGATAGCTTGGGTTCGTCCAGATAAGGTTTTGCTCAGTTGAGGCCCAGGACCATGTTGGGACCGAGCTACTTGGGCTTGTCTATCTAGAAAACCGAGCTACTTGAGTTGCTCGGCTGAGATGATTGCCTGCCAGTCTCGATTCCACGGTTCACGCGTTTAGCGCGGCAAGAAGGCCTTCGGTTTGCTAGGTCGACCTATCTTGAACTCGGCTTTGTCGGAATGTAACCGAGCTCGGTCGTTCTGGAGCTCGGCGAGTGGAGCACTTGGGTACGCTACACAGCGCGGTCGTGAAAGGCCGAGGTGGTTCCGCCGGTCTGCCAGGCTCTGCCAATATAGCCTAACGGTTTGGTTAGGTGGTGATTGCAGGATTTGTGCTGACAGATGGAAGAGCAGCACAACGTGTCAAGAGATTAATGGGAGTAGATTTGGGCGCAGAAAGTATATTAGCGTGTCTGCGCCC